AAAAAAAATTGTTCTGTCGTTCACGTTTTCTTTCTTGGTTATGAAAGTCCATGTGAACAATAGCTACATTAGGAAAATTCACAAACAACGGAACATTAACTGTCAAATTAATATGTTCGTAAGTTCTGGGATTTGGAATCTATGATTTTACTTGAGAAGACTTTCTTGGATTGCCTTTTATTAGTCGAGTTGTTAGTGGTGATGGATTTAAATCTTAACTCAATCATTGGTGTCTTATAAATAATGTATACCACGTACCTGAACTATAAGTGATAGCCGTGTAAGTTGCATTAAACCCTGGGTATTGACTGCGCAGAGACGTGAATATGACTTGAACGGAATTCCCTACCGAGTACACTGGAGAAGGAAGACACTGACCGCACAGCATGAACGGCTGATACCCATCATCTGAAGCAACATTTGTGACTGTAACACGGGCCTCTGGATTATTATAGCAGGGAAAGTACTGATGTGGCTCCAATCGAAAGTAGAGGAAGCTAAGTTTAATGATGTACCCGCTGGGAACTGTGATATTCCAGGTACATTTGCTGTATTGAGGGAAGTTACTTGGAAAATTTGGAGTTGAAAAGAATCCACTAAATCCATTAAGATATTCGCCAGAGGTACAAGCTGCAAAAAGAGGAAATAAAGATGATTTAGCTTTGTAATTCAAAATCAAAGAGTAATTTTGGCTGTGACCCAAAAAAAAAAAAAAAAAAAAAAAAAAAAAAACTCAATCATGAAAGCGTTGCAATATATAAACATAAAAAATAGGAGATTCGCAAGAAAACACTTTTAACATCATGCGAATGAAAATTGTTGGCATTTCATCGGCATTTTAGTTTGTGTTGTTTTACTCCGTAAAGTATTAATATTTGAATGTTGCAGTTGCTATAAGCCTGTTATAAGGCAATACTGTTTTATATAATTTGCTGAAAATTGATCACCTGATCGCCTGCACATAAACCTTTAATTTTGCGTGTTAAGCCGATTTTTAATAACTTACCGGTGTTTGTTGCATTATATTTCACTTCGATGTAGGTTGCCTTAAATCCACGGTACCGCCGGTAAGTACCACTATCAGAAACAAACGTCACCCTCAGGACATCTTTTGCCGAACGGTATATTATCTCACGGTCTTTATAGTTTCCACATCTTCGCCTGCTTGAAATGCCATCAGAGGATGAGCCATTTTGTATTTTCAGGTAGTCACACGTGCAAGATGAACCACAGTCCACAATATCAATGTCTTCAATGGACAACACAATGCTTTCTCCTTTACTTGCTATAATTTTCCAGCTGCAATTCACGTTAGAAGGGTAACGCCTTGGATAGTAAGGACTGGTAAGAACTCCTGATGTCTTATTCAGGGTTGTCATATTGGGACAGACTGCATGTAATATAAATGGACCGAGCGTAAGTGTCGAGGACAATTAGAATCATACCTGTTTCATCCAAAAACCGTAATGACTGCGTGACTATGAGCATTGATTTAGTTAAAGTTGAAAGGGATTATGTTTACGAACGTTGATTGACATTGATTCTATACATTGATTTAAAAGCATTAGGTTATTGCATTTCAAGCCAGTTTTTTCAGTAGAATCGAAGTGAGAAGGAAGTTTATTGTCTGTTTATAAATCCGCTTACCTGAAGAATGTTTAAAGAATCTGCCAACCTGTAAGGTGCGACTGTTATAACGACCTGCCACAGAAGTAAGTTTACATTGAGGCTTTCTGAATTTAGCTACAAGATTAAGACTCGATTTGTGTTTGTTCTGATTGCGAATTATAAATGTATTTCTCTAGGTCGAATAATTATTAAAGCTTGGCTTGATATTATGCGGTTTGTGATGGTTTTTTGAGCTAACCAGTTCCAAGGGAAGCATTTTCATTCGATTTCTGGTTGGATGAACTGCGCTGATTGCCGGACACGTGGCAACGAAACGTTAGAATGGAAGCGGCGTTAAAGCAAGCTATGATCGACCGTCGTACAGCAAAATCGGCATTTACAAGAGCAGGAAAAGCCGTGGTACATGATGCAAAGCGCAACCGGCCTGCCGTCGAGGTAAGAGAGGCCATAGATAAGCTCAAGGGAGTATATGAGATTTTCATAGAAAAACCACAGGCAGCCCAAACTCACGTTACGAGGGAAGGGTGTAATGTAATTTACATACCATAGGTGACGCGCCGGTGTCGCGTTACAGGCGACCGTTGAAAATATAAGAGACCTTGTATGAGAAATATGTTACTGAGATCTGCGAACGCTAAATAACGCTAAAACTTACTTTTTCTGAAATGAAATGAATAAAAAAAGACTTACCTGCAATGTATTCCTCTGCGTCTTGGTGTCTGTTGTCGTTTCACTGATTTTTTGGCTTTATTCGTAACCGCTGTTACTCCTTTAATAAAACGAAGTGATCAAGCAGTTTCCAGCCGTTTCCAAGTGATTTTGAGGGGGGTCTTCGTTTTGTATAATTGAAGATACTGTTGTTTCTTACACATCTAAGATCGAGATCTCCGTTTCTGGTTATTTATAAGGAGAAGTGATTTTGAGGGGGGTCTTCGTTTTCGGGTCTTAGGTCTTAGGTCTTCGTTTTCCACCCACCCCATGTTTTGATTTGTTTTGGCTGGAAAACCCCGATTACATAAATCACCGCATACATTATCAGACCAGATTCGATAACAACCAATCAGCGTTAAGTCAAACAATGCGCACTGTGTGTCAGCCTATCACAGCATGTTCCCAAGATCTTGGGAACCCAGCGGGACGCTGGAAGACGATTAGCGACGGCGTTACGCAGACGTCCCTTTTCCGCGTGCAACAAAGGAAATGGGAGACGTCTGCACGCAGGCAAATACCCTTGGGCTGAAGGGCAAAGATGTGTCAGTAACCGTTACTAAAGTGGGTGACGAAGAAGAAACAATGAAGACAAAAGAGTATAGAGTTCAATTGATCTGCATCGACGACAACGAACGCTATACCGTCAATGCAATTGGCATTGACAACATAAGCGACGAGATTCCAAAGGTTAAGACATCCCACCTGCCGGAGCTTCTTGGTCTACAAAATACCAGTTTCCGAAGCGGAAAGGGACACGTTGATCTCCTCATCGGCATTGACCAGGCGCACATGCATGCCGGCGAAACGAAGGAAGTAAAGCACCTGATAGCACGCAAGTCGTCACTTGGATGGGTAGTCTTTGGAGGAAAGGCTGAAGAAACTCCTGATGCAAGCGCCATATTACACGTTAAATGCGCCTCGCCAATAGATTTGACTGACTTCTGGACAACAGAGTCCTCGGGTGTGCCAGTCAAATCCTGCTTTTGCGACGCAGAAAAGCTAACTCAATTAGAGAGAGAAGAAGCCAAAATAATAGAAGAGTCGTGCATTAAAGTAGAGGGTCAGTGGATGGTCCCCTACCCTTGGAAAAAAGACCCAAGCCTGTTACCAGATAATAGACAGTTGGCAGTAAAGCGCCTAGTGTCGACGGAAAGGCGTCTGAAAAGGGATTCTGAACAAGCCGAAGCCTATTGCAAGCAAATGGAAGAGATGGAAAGCATGGGGTTTGCCAGAAAGCTATCAAAAGAAGAAATTGATTCGTAGCAAGGACCTGTCCATTACATTCCCGATCACGCCGTTTTCAGACCAGAAAAAAGAAGCACACGTGTCCGCATAGTCTTTAATTCATCTTCTTCATACCAAGGACACACCCTCAACGTTGTTTTCAACAGCCTAACAACTGTTGACTGACATCATTGCGCATTTAGGGTTTATTATGGATTGGAAGAATGGTACATGTACATGTAGGTACGAAGTTGCTAAGATACTGACATTGTTCTAATGGGCCCCTAATTGTTCTAATGGTCGAGAGTCCACCACGTACATGTTGTAAACTGCAATTAACTGCCTAGAAATGCATGCTGTTCTTCACGTGCTTAATGTCGTCTGATATTGTTCTTTAGCATAATTATTCCACTCAATCTCAATAATCTTCCCTTAGATGGGAGAAATTGATTTTCTGGTAATGTTTGTGACCGACAAACTTTGTAATCGCTTAATAAAAGGACAAGACAAAAGAACGCAAGATTGTCTTAGTGAGTGGGTTACCTCATACAAAAACTTGATTTGTCTTTATATCTCAAAGATCAACTGCAATTATCAATTTGGGTTTGTGATCTTTTGTGCGCTAAAAAATCGCGGTATCTCGCTCAATCTCGTTCAATAAGTATGTAATGTTTGTGTGCACTGTACATTCTGTAGGTCGAGACAGATCTGAGAAGCAGCAAAGAACGTATTGATGCCACACAAGATGAACTGCAAAGGGATTGCAAAGCCAGGTGAGAAAGTACGGCCAGCGATTTCAGTTTAAATTTCCTGCAGATTTTTCAAACTTCCGAGTGCTCTTTCTTCGTTTGGTGTTTTTGTACCATAGGTATCCGTTGTTGAAACGGGATGCCATTTTGTTTTTCTTCGCCTGCTTCGTAATTTCCTCTTTGCTAGTATCAAAAGCGCTTTTCACTTGTATGAACCATACTGATATACAGTTTGTTAGCCCGGGCTTATACGGTGTGCAAGAGCGAAAACAACCCACACAAATGTAATGATTTCAAATTAGAGTAATACCTTTTTTTTTTAGGCTATTGAAGCTGGAAGAGGAACATAATCAGGCGTTAGATTCCTCAGCCAATAAAGCAGCCCAGTTAAGGAGAGAGCTGGACAGTTTACATGAAGAAACAGATAAACTCAGGTGGGTAACTCTAGTACCTGTTCTACTTGCGAAAGCTGGGTTCTTTATATGTGGGTGGTGTTAATACACGTAGGTCTATGCTCAATCTGAGTTCTTATGCTTAATTTTACAGAGGGCAACATCAAATAGAAGTTTCTGCTCTGGATGAAAAAATGAAATGCCTTTCTCTTGAGCTGGAAAAGACTAAAAAATCAAGTCACGAAACCTCGCTGCAATTAGAAACAAAGGTATGTATGTTATTAATATCAATACTTTCAACTGTTGTGTACTTTTTGAACCTATCTTGGATAAGAGTTATCTCCAAACATCATGTAGTTCATGAATACGAGACTTATGCAACCGGGAGTCGTAATATTTTTATATGCATGAAAATGACTGAAGTTTTATCAGATTACGATAAAACTTCAGCATTAAACTACTGGCATACGTCAACAAACTGCGATGCGCTCTAACTGCGGCACGAACGAGAGGTCGAGCCGAATGATTGCGTATTGTGAGGGGTTTTGAATAATTTGACTAACTTTTTGAATCCTTTGTAAAATTAATAACTGGAAATGAGCCTAAGTTACGTTTCAAAATTAAGCGGAGGCCCCCCGCCGTGGAATTGTCATTGTTTCACGCTACTGTTACCTTTCATACATAGAATTTCAAACCTTAAAACTTTCGAGAAAAGAACTTTGTTCTTGTTCGTAAAAGTAGATTATCTTCATCCCCTTAGAACAAAGAATTGGAATCCACTGTTCGGAAATTGACTGCTGAACTTCCAAGTTGTGAAAGAAGAGAAACAGTACTTACTGGAGCGTGTTTCGCAAGAGCAAGCAAATACTATTTCTGTGAACGAGAAGCTTAGAGCTGCAGAGAAACTTCAACAAGAAACAGAAGCGAAGAACGAAGGTCTCAGCAAAGAATTAGCGGTTCTTCGGGAAACGTGCCGTGAAGAAGCCAATAGTTTAAGAACTGATATAAGTGAAAAAGATAAACTAATGAAAGACATTCGCGAAGAGAGTGCTAAACTTCAAGAAAGTGAAGTCGAAAGAGCAATTAATCAAGAAAGAGAGAAGGCGAACGCTCGCCTGGATGGTATATTAAACGAGCTTACGAAATCCAATCAAGGTATTTCCACCTTGACAGCTGATTTAGAAGGGAAAAAATTAGATTTATCGAAGCAGCGAGAAGACAATATTAAATTGAAATATGATCTAGATTTGAAAACTAAGGAAATGAACCTTATGAGAGAGAAAAAAATTCGTTTAGCTGCGGAACTTGAAAAAAGACACGACGAAATGATAATCTGCGTAAAGAAGTTGAAGAATTGGGTAGAACTTTAGAGGTAAAATCAAAGGATCTCTCCGAAGCGGAGAACTGTGTTAGTAAACTTCAAACTCAGCTCAAGGAAAGAGAGAGGACCATACAGAATTTTCAAGTGCAAGGAACAAACCGTGCTGAAATTATTGAAAGAAACAGTCAAACGGGTGACTCGTTACAACGTGAGAGGGAGCAACTGATTCGAACGCTGGAGGACAGAATTAGCGAGGTGGAAGAAATGAAGAGTCATCGCGAAATCTTAGCAAAAAAATCGAGGTCAAAGGACAAACGTGTCAAGGAACTGGAAGAGGAAAGGAACTCTTTAAC